TTTCTTCTTCTCAGTTTGTTTATTGTTCTGAGCTTTCAAACTCGTGCAGAAGGTGATCGTCCGAGATAGCAGCGGCAGCAGCAAAAAGAGCGATAGTTATAAGGAGTGCCAGCCAATTCATTATCAGTGGCGAAAATCGGGAGGTGACTGTCCAGGACACCAGTTTAACATCGCAGCCATCAAGATAATCGCTTAAGTCGTAAACAAGACGAGCCAAGAATTGATTGAAACTTGGTCCATACGCGGGAACCCAAGCGATCTATTTATCGATTTTGCGCCAGCGTAAAAGGTACTGCGAAGTCGCATGTAGACTCGTTTCATTGATAATTATTTGGCTTCCATCCTGTATAATTCTGTGAGGTTGCTGCTGCTGTTATCTCTGACGATGAACTGCTGCAAGAGTTTGAAAGCTAACAACAATAAGCAAGCTCGATCCGTCTTCTAACTATCTACCTTGCTTGCTATAACCTGGCAAAGTGCCGATCAGCATGTTAGACTGGCCTACGTTGAGGTTATTTTTCTATACGGTAGATCGCAGGATACTTGTTAAAATCACCATTAAATCCAATATCTAAGAATAAATAAGCTCCTATTTATATACAATCACAAAATCAAATAAACCACGAGTAGGAAAGCTAATGGCCATGCGTACACAGGAGAAAGTAAGTGCCCTGGCAGGCATGCTATCAGTTTTGATAACATTTGTGCCCGATCTCGCCTCCGGACTTTTTAACTCCGTCCTGACACCGGGATCAGGCGCATGAATAGAAGGTGCGATTGGTGCAACGTAAGTCTACTATCATTCACATGTAATTAACCCGTAAGTCACCACCACCACGCTGTGGAGCACACTGTGGGTATTGTCGGGATCACCGAAGTCACAAGCTTTAACTAACTATTGAGGGATAATTAGCCAGCACTTACCGAGCTCATCAATTACCAATTAAGGAAAAAACTCAACGCAATACCCTAGACACACCAAATATTACCACAGTTGATCGAACAATAGCTACATATGAGTGTGCAATTACATATTAAGAAACACGTATAATAATACCTGCCATCAAATACTAAGGAAAAGCGGCTCATAGGTAAATTAAGAAAACAAATATGGTTCGAAGAGCGTAAACAAAATCATTTCATAAGGCTAATTTTTTGTGAGGACTGTAAACATTTTTGTGTTGCAGAGTATGATGTCCAAGAAGTGCACGAAAATGCTGAAGTTTCTAAACCTGAGTGGACAAGAAAAAGTGGTCTCTGTCATATTACTTTTTCAACCTAGAGAGACATTGTAGTAAAATATGAAGAATTGGGCCTTTGGGAGTTCGACCGTGCCAGCAAATTATCAAAATTTAAGACAAAAAACGAACCAAGTCCTCGCCAACGGAATCTACGTTCCCGAACCTTCCCCTTCTCGTCAAAAAGTTCTCCATCTTCAAGAAATAATTCCTAAAATGTCGACAAGAAAACGGGATACCATGATGAAATAGTTGTCTATAATGCACGCAGGCGGTGAGTTGTTTCGCAGAGGGCTTCGAGTGGCCGAATAAGCTCAAAACATCTTAGGTGTTTTAGCATGAATGTATAGATCAAAAGATGTGAAAGGTATACCCTTTGTGTGACAGGTTTAGTCAAGTATATGAAAATGAGCCCACACGCTAACCCGAAATATTGAAATATCACGTAATAGTCCGATCGCTACGGACGATGTCCATCGCATAGCCAACGGAGTGGAGCAGCACTAGAAATATATTTCGTATTAAACAGGTCGCAGATCCGATCCTCAGAAAGATGGTTAGGGCTGGCTGATGAACTTGTCCTCATCGGTAACCTGGTTCTACTTAGAATGTATTGGGCATCCGATAGCCTTCACAGGAAACGCTTCACCGTAAAAATTTGGCTGCGCTCACCTATTACTATTCAGGCTAATTTTACCTTAATAACCGTTGTTACATGTGTACACAGTGGTGATCCTATCGATTAAACATAAACTAAGCCAAGTGGTGACATATCCACTACATTCGCGTTTAAACTTAGGCCATTATTTACTACGGTCCATTATTAACAAAATGGTCGACAACATTTTTTTACATACTCTACCTTTCGGGTCAGGTGCCGTGACTTGGTTCTATGTATAAGGGCAGGATCTAATGGCAAGTATAGGGTAGAGTATGCAATGGTCGCAAGGCGACAAAACTAGGAAAATTAAGCGTATCTGCCTTCATAATGCAACGAGCGCGTTTTCTGTTTTTGTAGAAGACAGGAGCCTTAGCTACCGAGAATGACTGTTCTGCGAAGATGTCTGCTTTTAAATTCGCAAAAGAAGCCTGTTCAGTGATATATGATATTAATAAACTAGGGACGAGCACTGCTCAATCCCAAGGAGTAACACCGGCTACTCAGTCTAAGTAAATAAGTGTGTTTGCAGAGTGAACAAAAACATAAATCTGGCATGTGACAGAAGGAAGAGGAGGGGGGAGGATAAGGAGGAGGAGGAAAAATGTTGCTAACCTTGAGGTAGCGAACTTCACGCTGGTCTTCGTCCTCTTGCATTCGCATGTGTATACGCTCTACTTGGCGACGCAGTTTGCCAGCCGCATCTTCTTCCGCCTCATCGACAAAGTCCTTCAGGCTTCCAGCATCGGAATCGGTATCCTCCTCATCAGCAAACTGGGCGCGCTCAACTTCGTCACCAGAGAGTTCGGCCTCTTCTTCCAAAAATGCCTTTGGATCAAACCTGCAACATAAGATGGGATGGAAGAAGCACCCAGAAGAGAGCAGTTAAAGGAAAGAGCAGTTGGGCTGGGAAAACAGTTGTCACTGGTTGTTACCGGTGTTTGTAGGCCTGAATGTCCACGGGTTTAGTGTAGCCCAGACCATTATTATTCCAACAACTAACGTTCTGATGGTCTGGAAGCTAAGAGAACCCTTTTTGTTTTCTCCTCCTCTAGGCCAAGGCTAGATTAAGTGAAGGTGAGCTTCTCAGAGGACAGCAGTAAAAAGATTGCATTAAAACCAAGACTTACTGCTGTACTAAGTAGTAAATTAAAATTACGGCTTTCCATGGAAATATTTACAAGAGACTCTAACAAAAGAGACTCTAACAAAAGATAATAAAGTTACAATAATTCCAAGGAGCTGTGACGGAAAACCAAAGTAACCCAGGAAATAAAAGTAGGTCCCGGACGGGCGGTTTAATGCATGCTCACGATAGAATGGTTCCCCAGAGAAAAGTAGTGGGAGCAAACTACATCTAATTTGGATTGCGAGGCAACTGCTTGTCTGCAACTCTAGTGCCAGACTGGGACTGCGATGGCTGGAGCTAGGCTACAACTTACTCAATCGCTTTAAGAATGTGCATCCGCATTGGAAGATGGCTGGAAAACATGAGTACCTCATACCCTTGCATGGTTTTCATACGGGTCTAAAACGGGTGTCATTGGGGTGATCGAGTCAAACGGGAGCCAAACAAGTGACGCGCCTGACGCCCCCGTCAGGCGACTAGGTTCGACTTGAAACGAACTGGCCAAAAAAGGCGGTTGGCCATCTGTGAGTTCCTGACAATTATCGCCGTCGTTCAACTCAATTCAAGGAAGCCTGACTAGTTTGCGCTCAGGGAACACAGCGTGTGTGGGCCGTGGACAATAAGGCAGCAAACAAGTCCAGAATGGTCGTGGTTTTATTTCCGTTACGAATGCAAAATGTCGTACTCATCGACGCAGGCGACTGCAAAGCCAGCAGTGAAAATAGTGACGCATCTACAAAGTGAACCTCGGGACAGTAGGCGGTGGGAAATCAACTTAATGGTTTCGATATTCATCCTCAAGTGTTCTGTGGATGTGGCCTTCACATTCCAATGTTTTAGTAAGCATTCTTTGCTATAGGCCATGTTGTTTTACAGGGAGTTATCAAAATGTCGTCACCTGGTTCACATCTGCCACTAAGGGAGAAAGGCGAAAATATGTGCTAAGGACAAAAGCAGTGGCGTTTTTAACGTCCGATCCGGCGTTCATGAGAAGGCTATCGCCTCCGGTTTTGCACTAGGGGTTATTCGTTCAATCACTGCAGAAGGTTAAAATCTTGGTTTTTAGCGGCCCGTGAGGCTGAATTTTTTGATGGCTCAACTTCAATTGGAAGGCTGCCTCTCACATGCGTGGAAGGAAATAATTGCTGATGCACTGAGCCCACGGCATGAACACGGCAGAATCTCCTATTATTAATGGCCATTAATAATACAGATACAAGAAAAAATTCGTGTTTAGCATAAACTATGAAAAAGGCTCAAAACGTAACTTGGGCAACAGGAAGATAGGCTCGGTACCTTGGCTACTAAAACAAACTCCTACCTCTACTGGTAACTAAGTATTCAATTAGCCTGGTAGGAACAACAAGCATGGTCAATAATTGAGAAAGGTGTTAGTTTACACCAGATTTAATCAGTTTAAGAAAAACGTGTTCCTGGTTGCAGCCGATACACCTACTAAAGCTACAGTAGATGTATCCACTCAGAATGCATCCTTTCGAGGAAATTTTGGCATTCTCTCGACCGGAAAAGCGACTTACTTTGTCGGCCGTTTTTTCTCCGGACGAGATGCTTTGTCTAGAAGATAGGCTTCCTCCAAATCTGATCCCGAGAGATCTTGGACCTCACCCTCCTTTTCATCTGATTCCGAGGTGGCGTAATCTGACTCCTTGGGCTCTTCCTCAAGTTCGCCATCTGTGCCCTCATCTTCCACTTCTTCTTCGTCCTCATCGGGGTCCTCACCCTGTTCGAAGGTTGAAATGAAGTCTAACGCAGCTTTGAGGGGTGACTTTACGTCTGCTTTTGTCTCCGAGGGTTCCTTTTTGATAGGAGGTGGCACTATCTTCTTCTCCTGCAAGGGTGGACTTTGGGGACGGGGTTTCGTTAGTTTGGTGTCAGCGTCTTCCCTGGAAACAGTCAAATCATCATCGTAATCCTCGTCTCCACCCATGCGTAGCCTTCGACGTTTTTCAATGGTAGAGGTGGACTGATAAAAGAAAAACCTACACTTAGAGCATATAGCAACGCCAATAAACAACGTTCTAATTCAAACCCCCTTGATGCGGGAAAGGTAAGGGGAGAGAAGGGCAAGGCGGAGAAAAGGTCGCCGTCTGTGTGTTTATTTTGAGGCCAACTGGCAACAAAGGCTTTACCGATGTGACATGGAATTCAAGCTTCGATCTGTGACAAAATAGATATTAGAAGGGTTCGGGCAGCCTGCTAGTCTTTTAATTGCGCGGATGGAAGACAGTGAAACAGCCTTCTGCTAAATCCAGTTACGAAATCAGTTGGTTCTGCGGTTCGAGGAATAAGTATGCGGACCACGCAACGACAATAAACGTACGAACATGGTCGAGCACGCATATGGCAAACAGGCTGCCATTGAAAAGTTCACAACCTACAGAAACACTGAGACATGAAGAAGGCTAACAAACCAACAATGCTTCACTTTTTACTACGTTGCAGGAAAAATGAGCACATAGCATGGCAGAAGCGAATTACTGAAAATAGATTAAGCAAGGTACCCAGCGCAGAACGGCAGACAGTGAGGTGGAAGATCTTTAATAAAATGGAACATAAGACTCGAATGAATGAAAAAGTTGGCGTTCCAGGTATCTGCTTGGATGAGGAAGGAGACGTGTCGAGCACCAGATCAATTGATTTATTGTCCTGAGCTTTTGAACTCTTACAGGAGTCCATATTCGGAGATCTCTGAAGATGGACTCCTGTAAGAGTTCAAAAGCTCAGGACAATAAATCAATTGATCTGGAGCTCGACACGTCTCCTTTATCCAGAAACATTAGACTTCTAGCCAACAAAGTGGCGGGTTCGAGCCTCGGGGATTGCCACCCCTGGTGTTGGTATGGCTGGCTGATGACGACTAATAACCTTGAAATGACCATACAAGTCTCCCTTGTCTGTGCCGGTAAAATCATTCCACCTTTATCCTTAGCCCGTGTGCGGCTACTTACGGGGCTCACGACAGGACGAGTGAGTACCGTAACCAATCGGTCAGTGCCTATCTGCCATACGTCTGAAATCCTTGGGCCATAAGTAGGGTTTAGCAATCCACCAGGCATATGAAACAATTAATATGAGGCCGACAACTTTTTCTGGGAGAAAATGTAGAGCCAACCGATGCTGCAACATTTTTACCTGATCTTTTCATTGCATTCGAACAACTTCTTAAGTGCATGTGCAGGCGTGCATGTGCATGTGCAAGAGGCGTGATTAAAAGAATAATGAAACCAACAAAAAGGCCTATACCGTTGGATCGAAGTTACGGACGGTTTTATGAGATAGTTCTAATCCATAGTTTTAGTAGAGTAGAAGGATTAGCAGAGCAATGGATAATGTCAGTCATCTCACCATTTCTGGACTACGCCAGTTAATACCTGATGTGTTGCCTTTAGTTTCATCTTACCCAGTGACTTCCATGTGAGGAAGATACTGTTTGTACCTGATGCGTTTTACTTGTATGGTGTGGCAGGGACTTTTAGGACTCGAAAATTGAATCTGATGAAGTCGAAAACATGGGGGGAGGCACAAAGATTCTACGCAAACTTACGCCCAACTCCAGGGGTTTCGTAGAATCTAGTGGAAGTGTTGACAGCGCCTCTTCTTCTCCGGGAGAAACATCAGGAGCGTCGGCGACAGGTGAGGAGTCGTTCACTGATACCGACAACAAAATGAACGGTCATAAAAAAACGGGTGTCAAGAGCAGAACAGGGGGGATTCAACTGAAATAACTTCGTTGGGAACCTTTGACAGGCAAATGACAGGAACCGAGCCAAAGCAAGCATGGAGCCGTCCCCGACCCCTCGTCAAAACCTCCCTATTCAGGTAGTCCAAAAATCGCCCTTTAGATTCAATATATGTATTACTTATGGCTACTAAGTTAGATTCGTTATAAAGATGAATAGATGGACCGGGTGTGTTTCTGCACCACTCATAGATAGTCTGCCATGGGTATAAACTTCCTGGTAGATATCTCGACCAAAACGCACTAGCAAGCAGGCCGGTGAGAAAGGGTAGAGGAAGTCGACATTCTGTTTAAACAAGTATTCAATTTGGACAGGCTTACATACCTGTAGTTTGGTTTAAATTAAAGAGATTGTCTGTTGTGATTTTCTCGGCCGAGGAAGTAGGCACGTCCTCGGGGTCAGTTCCACGCTTATTCGGAGTGACAGTTGAAGATGGTATACTTGAGGCATGAGTGGCAGACGTTGAACCTTCACATGAAAATAAACAAGACAAGAGAAAACTGTGACAACGCATTGGTGGAAAACAGAATGGTTTAGAAAGCTGTCTTGAAAGAAGTTCAAGTCGACAAGAGACAGCAAACGGACAGAAAGAGGTAGACGATCGGGACAGGAAAACAAGAGCAACTGTTTGTGAAAACTGTTCGTATAGCACAACAGTCCAACAGCATCAGCATTACGAAAAAAACATCTGCCTTCAAGATAACCGTAGGTTTATCAATAAGAATACTGTCTGTTTCTGGCCAACATTTCGAAGGTTTTAAATATATCAGTCTTTCTTTTTCTTAAATTGGCCACTGAAAGTGGCAACTTTTAGCGCAGCCATTGCTATAAAAAGGCTTACTTTGACAGCAGGTAAAAGGAATGGTCAGAAAATTGCTGTTGCATAATTCGAAGACCACCCGACGTGGAACCGCTTCTTGAAATCTGGACTGATAATGTGATGTAATCAGCACTAGCAGAAACCCCTTTCTGTTACTGCTGTTTGACTATGTCTCTGATGACGAATCCGCGACGGATCTCGAAACGTCAGACGAATTAAAGTATTGTCCCAGCGATCGAGTCATCTTCTGCTCCATGTGATGCAATGTAGGCTTTGGACTGTATTAAATTTAAAGTGCGTGCTACAATGCTGAATTGACTATCTAGGCACTAAGCTTAATCCATGAGAACTGAAATATAGGCGTGTATATCGCAAAAAAATAGAAAAATCATCAATCAAAAGAGTTTATTTACAGCAAGTGTGGGAAATAACAATTTTTGGGCTCAGGCGGTAATACTACAGTATAATTGTTTGTAAGGAAATCCGCCTTGTTATCATTCTTATTACGTGGCATTACCTTAAACCGTTCCGGGATAAAACCTGCTTTACACTAAAACATCTCTCTTACGTAATAAAAAACTGTATTGATCTACGTACAACTGTCAAAATGCGGGCGAAAAACACAATTTTCATAAGCATTATGAATGGAAGAATGTTATAAGGAAACCGGGAAAATATAATAAGGTAAAGTTGGTAAAAGCGGGCAATGCCAAATTTTGGTTTAATGTGGCATCGTCGCAACCAGTTAGGAAAGCCTAGTGTCGTTTAACATTTTGACAATTACATGACCCTGAAAAGAGGAAGAAGGTAAGTAGTAGTTTAAGCTCCAGGAACAAGCAAGAAATCCTTATTCCGCCCCACAATTAGATCAGATAGCGCAGCGCCGCTCCCAGCGTGCTATTAAATTATCGGTTAGATCACGCTGAGTAATCCCAGACTGACTTTCGCGATCGTGTGGTAATAGCAAGGACAGCGCGAAGGAAACAACGCAAAAGCAATAAGAGTTAAGAAAATAAGGCTAAAACACGGGCTTGTTTAGCAGAGTACAGTTTATAAAGATGAATTCGCTAAGGCACGAAAATATTTAACGCTAATCCCAAAAAAACTTGCCAATGTCTTCGTTGGGCTGATGATTTGGCTTGTACGCCCTCATCAAACTGGGCTTTGTGGGATTATCTAGAAGTCGGAAAAAGATGAGTGGCAAAAAAAAGAAATTCAAACCATTTTGGAGTGTGGTGGACTCTGCCTCATCTAGCTTTTGTGTATCCTCGGCAAGCTGTAACGTAGAATCGACGGGGACCTGCGTCTGGGTAGTTAAAAGCACGGTTTCCTGTGTGTCAGCCGGGAAAGTAACTAAAAGCAGCATGAGATTGCCAAAAATGCATTAGGGCATACCATCACCGTCATCTGGTTCTGACAGTAGCATTGTCGTTGACGTCAATGTGCCACCTAGCGTGAATTAGAAAAAAGGGGATTACAGGGTGCGAACTTCAATCTCTTTTTTTTCCTAATCAACAGGCGTGCGGAGACAGGACATACTAACCTGGACAAATAGAGGGCTGCTTTTGACTAAAGAGCAAAGAGCCGGGCGTATCATTCCACAACGAACGCTCTGAACGGATGGCCATGGAGGAATCCTGAAAGGCAGTAAGAAAAAATATACACTATAGCTCTGTGAAATGCCTGAGTTGCGTTTAAGGTGACGGGTCACAGCTCGGTGTATTTAGCGCAGCGCGTACCGTATTTTCAGGACTATAAGGCGAAGCTCTTACCTTTCTCAAAAAACTAAAGTGCGCCTTATATAACGATGAGTTTTGACCTCGCAGAGATTTTGTGTGGTACACGGCGCTGCGTTAATCCGCATTGTCGTTTTTTGAAGTGTGCCCCGTAGTCCGGAAATTACGGTAGGCAGTAGACGACATACGAACGACAGCCTCGCGCAGCAAGACCAGCCAATCACAGGGTTGATTAATGGTCAGACCACGAAGCAAAATCCATGAAGCCACAGCGTTAGCAGGCGCCGCGGGTTCAAGGAAAATGTTGCAAGGGTTGAAAGGTTGCAAGGTTGAAAAGAGGACTGCGAAATAATTCTGCCATTTCTAAGTTGAATGATGACTTAAATGTGTAACAGGTTCGATCTCAGATCTCCTCCAACTGGGAGTTTTAACATGAATGGAAGACGGTGGTAAAGCAGACAAAAAGCGGCACCCTAGTCTTCCTTACCTTGCTTTATCGGTAAGAAGATGGAACAATGAATGAATGGGACAAGGGAGGAGAGAGGTATGTTTATTTTTCCAGCAAATGCTGGAGTTATCTCTGTGGGAACGCAGTAGTGAAAACTAAATGTTCTGAAAGGAAATTAAAGGTAACGTGGTGACAGACAAATCGTCGAAGGTGAATATTTGACATCAAAGAATGGTTCAGGTTAGCGTTAAAATGCAATAATTAGGACGACCGACGGATACCTGAGCAGGGTCAGCTTCAAATCGAGTGGAGGAGAGGGCGCGAGAAATGTTGAAGGTTTCTAGAAGAAGTTATGAGTAAAGTAATCCATCCATGTTGGTTACTTACTGTCCGGAAGGATGGTAGACTCAGAGGCGAAGAGGTCAACATCACCTGGCTCAACGCATTTTCGTTGGGGAATAAACCGTGAAGCAGTGCTGCCCGCAACGGGAACATTAAAGTCTGAAGGACAGAGAAGTGTCTTGATTAGAAAACAGAAGAGAGACAGTGACTCAGCGCTAAGAAGGGCATAAAAACAACACGAACGTTGAATCAGACTTTGTGTTCTTGTATGTGGGGCGTGATTTATTTTGTTCTAAAGTTCATATTATTGAAAAAACGAATGCTAATCGTCACAAGCAATATACAATGGAGACCAAAGGCCTCTCGGGTATTTGGCTAATTTCTGTTTTCGGCCTCCTAGGAGGGAGTTCAATTTCCAAAACATGCGCTCTTTGTTTCCCTAGCTGCATCTCGCAGTACACTACGTGTTTGTGTAGGGCGGCCGACAAGCGGACTGAGAG